CACTGCCATCGAGTCGAATCCGACTCATAGCAACCTCTCCTTGGGTTTCCAAGGCAGTATCACTATGGAAGTAGACTGCCCAACCTTCCTTCTGAGGAGTGGTTGATAGGTTTGAACCACCAGCCTTCTGGTTAGCAGTCAAATGTCTTAGGCACTACACCACCAGAGCTCCCAATGTCACTAATGCCACATGGCAGAGGAATGGCATTTCTTATTATGATAAAGTTACAAGGCCAACAGATGAGAGGAATGTTGTAAACAGAATCCTGGCTTTTATCATACCATCTGACAAAATCTCTAGGCTCTCCTTACGAACACAGTAGAGTGAATTTCTAACTGGTTCAAGGACAGAATTCAAAGACTGTTGATGAATCAATCAGTGCTAAAATAAAGAGATGTTTCTAATGACATGCCATAGGCCTCTCTCCTTTAAAAAAAAAAAAAAATCTGCTGATGTCAATTCTCACTCATAGCGACCCCACAGGACAGAGTAGACTGTCCCATAGGGTTTCCAAGGCTGTAATCTTAACAAAGGAGCTCTGGTAGCGTAATGCCTAAGGCACTTGACTGCTAACCAGAAGACTGGCGGTTCAAACCCACCAGCCACTCCTAGGAAGGAAGATGGGGCAACTCGACTTCCATAGTGATACTGCCTCGGCAACACAAGGAGGGGTCGCTATGAGTTGGATCTGACTCGATGGCACATAACAACAACAAAAATCTTAACAAAAGCAGACTGCCTCATCTTCCTTCCACAGGGGCTGGTGGTGGGTTCAAACCACTGACCTTTTAGTTAGCAGCTGAGCTCTTACCCACTGTGCTACTCAGGCTCCTCAGCCCTGGCTAATTTAACAATTTTAATAAATGACTTTGATGAGGCCAATAGCTAGCATATTTAAGAATGCTACAGATATCACAAAAATAGAAGACTGAATAAGATGTATGCTAAAATAAAAACTGAAAAAGACTTCAAAAGATAGAGAGAAATGATACCCCAGAGGAATATATGTCAAGCCCTCCATTTAGATTTTGGAAGGAGCCCTGATGGCATGCACAACAGTTAAGGACTCAGTTGCTAACCAAAAGGTTGGCAGTTCAAACCCACTCAGCACCTCCACAAGAGAAAAATATGGCAATCTGTTCCCATAAAGATTACAACCTAAAAAACCCTGTTGGGCAGTTCTACTCTGTCACATAGTCAAAAATGGACTAGATGGCACCTAACAACATTATTTTTCTTAAAAAAAAAAGAAGCAGCAGCAAGCAAATTGCCTAATAAATAAGAATAAGGGAAAACATGGCTTTACAATAACATGTGTTAATCTAAAATTAAGACCATAATCTCAATGTAAATTGACAGTGTCATACTGTGGCAAGAAGAGCTAATGAGACCATCATTTTTGAGAAACCTAGTGGAAGAGAAAACCAACTCTAAACTGGACTGGACTGACAGGCTCAAGGTACTGAAGACAAACTGACACATCCAGAAGAAGCTGAAGGCTTCAGAAATGGACTGCAGTGTAGTAAATTACTTTGTGTGGCTTTTCTATCCATAAGTCTTTGTAAACTCCAAGGTGAGATTTGCTATGAGCAACTGAGGGGCTCCTGATTGCTGAAGGTGTCCACCTGGAGTATTTCTGTGGGGCGTGGCACAAAACAATGTTCTGGGAGGTGCCCACTCTCTCTCAGGTGCTTAGAGTTCTGATGCTATAATTGGCTAGTTTGACCACCCTGCGGGCTCTAAAGGAGACCTCCTGGAGGCAGAACTCTTCTCTCTGACTGCTGGTTGAGGAAGATGTGCTGCTGAAAGAGACACGGGCTCCTGAGACACACGTTGCTGGGAAAGAGATGCAAGAGACATGCATTGCTGAGTGAGACACCGAGGGACCAGCACTGCTGGGAAAGAGACTGTGAGAGACTCTTGGCTGAGGGACGGTGGGCTGGGAGAGAGACTGAGCGTTCTTCCTGAACTTGAGTTGTAGCCTGGTGCTTCCCTAATAAAGCCTGTAATCTGTGAGTTCTGTGTGGCCACTGCAGCGAATTATCGAACCCAGGAGAGAGGTGGTGGGTGCTTTGGGAGGAACGGTTGGTGAAAGGGCTGGAGGGAGGCAGCATGTTTGGCCTTGCAGTAATAGGCCTTGGGTTACTGCTGGTAATCCTGTCTTCCTCTTGTGAGATTAGAGGAGGTCAGAACATGTGGCCTCCTTGCCGTTTTTTGCACGGACAAATGAGGAAAAGCTAACAGAACTAAGGACTCAGTCTAGAGCAGAGAACTCATATGGACAGGTGGTAGGCTAAATTCAGGAGGCGCACGGGTTTAGTCAATTTGGCAATAACTGAATGAAGGAGAACCCGATGCTTCCTTCAAGTAGGAGCCATTCTACCTCCTGTTGTCCCGTGAGACTGTCAGACTTATCTGGCTATCAGACTTATTCTGAATGAGCCTGTAGCATTTGAGTTACCACCACTGTTCTACAGAAAGAGCCAACAAGTGAACACAAAAAGACCTGAAAGGTTGGTTACAGGCTGATAATATACTAATGGACTGTTCTGGAGAGAATAATGACAAAATATACAAGATACAGGGAGGTTCAACACGAACTTTCTAAGAAAAATTAAGCAAGCTGCCTGTAGATGTGGCCCTTCCTCACTGAAACAGGGTAAACAGGGACTACCCTTTATCAGAGTCTCAGAGGAGACAGATTCAATGGGTAAAGAACTAGATTCAAATCATCCCTTCCAAATCTGAGTTTCTCTGATGCTTCAATATTAGGCATTCTACTACCTTCAGTACCCCTCTACCATGGAAAGTACACTGGGTTGAGCCTTGCATGCTTTTTTTCACTGGCTTCATCATAAGACTGTAGGATTTACTGTTTCCATGTCAACTAAACACAGGCTTTACTGCAGAACCATCACCTGATCCTCTTAGGCACTTTAATTCATCATAAATATAAAAGAATATAGTTATTTCATTAGTATTGAAACCTAAGGACTACTCCTGCCTTGAAGTTACTAAGTTAAGAGTAAGAAGAATCGAAAGGAGGAATCATGGCATAATGGGCAGAAAACCAGACTAGGAAGTATCCTTGGGATACTTGATACATCATCTCTCTAGACCTCAGTTTATTCACTATAAAGATGGACACAAAACATATAGCCATCTCCATTCTGTAAGACTGTTGCATAAATCAAACAATGCACGTAAGGTGCTCTGAGAGCTATGCAGTGCTGTATTAATTCAAGGTCCTTTCCACTATAAGACACACGCCTATACCATGTTATTTGTTTTATCTGAAATGCATTTTGCCTCCTTAATATAAAATTCTAGATCAATCTACCTATTTAACCTCTGATCCATCTATCTATCTATCTATCTACTTACATCTTTATCCATAACCCAGTTCTCATTTTTCCAAAGCTACCCACGTTAAGACATGATTCATGATTCATCAGTGTGGCACCAACATATTCTAAATGTGAAATGCAGCTCAATGATCTATTTCCACGTACCTACAAGGAGAAGGATGTACGACTACTAATGAGCCCTACAGGGAAGGCAGCAAAGGTCCCTTTTGGCTCTGAGCAGACAGTTGAACTTGGGATTTGACCCCTCAGCCACGGTGCCCGGGTATATGAAGGCCCTCCGTGGTCCTCAGCTCTCTAAAGTTAGCCTGCCCTTGCCATTCCATCAGAGTGAACCATATGAAACTGCTGTTTTTAAAGGATCAAAAACAGTCAAAATACCAGGTATCATTAAACCTAATACACCCACAATTCTGAATTTATGAATTTAATTAGGGGAAGGGAATGAAGTCATCATGAAGGGCTATCAGCTTTCAGCCACATAAGGCAAAGGAGATCAATTTCCTGCCAAATCAACGTTTCACATTTGAAATTCTGCTTATCGGCTCAGTAGGAGATAGAGAGCTATTCTCTCCTAGATGAGGTGTCCCATATGTCATTCAGAAAGGAGCTTTAACATTGTATATACCAATGTGGTTCAAAGTACCCATGTCAACAGCACGAACAAGGACATGTTACCTAAAAATTTAGTGCCATGAAGGGTCTCAAGTCCCTGATAAACAGAAAGATGTGGTCTACGGTTCCAAAATGTGAAATGAGAAATCAGAAAAAATATACATCCTGAGAATTCCCAAAGGGATAAGGGCAAGTTCATCCCATGAGGGAAATTTGTAAGTGTTAAGCTATGCTATTTCCTAGCAGTGGAAGCCCATCATTACCACGACCGACTACTGAAGGTTATTTATGCTCTACCACCACTCGGCTGCCAGTCTGTCATACTGTGGTGGCTTACATGTTGCTGTAAGGCTAGATGTTATGCCACTGGTGTATCAAATATCAGAAGGGTCACTGATGGTGGACAGGTTTTACAATCTGAGTTTGCCTACTAAGTTTTAATAGACCTATGCAACAGCGCCTTAAAAATCCTTATAAAAAACACAAGTTATCAAGCTATATAAAGATTTACACATTTATATAAATGAAATTCCTTTATATTAAAATTTAAGAAAGAAAACTATAGGGATTTAAGCATTAGCGTTCCTTGCTATTTAAAATGTCATCAAAGTAAATTAAAGGGTACTTATTATCTTTAGTAAGAAGCTCTGGTGGCACAGTGCCTAAGGTGTCCAACTGCTAATCAAAAGGCTAGTGATTCAAATCCAACAGCCACTCCTTGGAAGGAAGATGGGACAATCTATTTCCATAAAGATTTACTGCCTTGAAAACTCAATGGGAGTCGTTACAAGTTAGAGTCAACTCGATGGCAGTGGGTTTGGTTTTTTGGGTTTTTTAAAAATTATCTTCAGTGGGCAGTAATGGAAACTCACTTATGTATAGGTGTATTTATTTACTAAGGTGATATAACATCACTGCACAGTGCTTTAACATTTTAAAAAAACATTTATCTTAAGAGAAAAAGAGATAAAGTTAACAACTGAATAACAAATACATACAACTACAAGAAACTTCCTTACCTGTAATACAAATTTCTGATCTATGTATTTTTTGGCAATGCTGGGTTGGAATTCTTGGCTTTCCAAAAATCGTATGAAAAATTCATATACAAGCTGCAACAAACAGATTATAGTTAATTTCAAAATATGATTCACTGAGAATAGTATTAATAATCATGAAAAGCCTAAACACTGAAAATGTCATTAAGGACTTCAGAAAACTGAATTTGAATGTAAACTTACAAACCATGCTAGCCATTCCTGTGGTTCATATTTGCTGTTATTTTCTAACTTTCTAAGTTGAAAATTAGAAAATATAGCCAAACAAAACAAATAAAAATCCCCAATAATCTCACCATTCAAATACAAACACTGTTAATGTTTTATTATATATATATATATATAT